AGGCCGTCGCGGTACTCCGCCACGGCGGCGCGGACGGCCTTGAGGCGGAGCTTCTTGGCGTCCACGATGTCGCGTTCGCCGGCGACCTGCGCCTCCATGGAAGCGACGGCGTCCTCGACGGCGCCGACCGTCTCCTCCTGCAGGGTTCGGTTGTAGAGGATGTCGAGGCGCTCGTCGGCGGCGAGCGTGGGGCTCCCCTTGCGGAGGATCTCTTCGATGGCGTCGAGCGCGGCGTCGACGTCGTCCGGGACGGCGGTGGTCCCCGGGCGGTGGCGGAAGATGTCGGCGTCGCTCCCCATGTAGTTCTGGTCGTAGCAGGCGTCGTGGAAGCTTGTGGTCCTGAACACCTCGACGAGGTGGCGGATGTACGCCATCGTCGCCGGGTGGATGTCTTCCCTCGCCGCCGCTGCCATCGCCGGAGAAGCAGTCGAGATGTAGCAAGCTGAGAAAGACACATGCACACAGTACAGTTCAATCAAACGGAAGGAAAGCTAGCCATGATCGGATGCATGTAGATATGAGGCTTAGTAGATGGTCAGCACGTACCTGGCTTGCCGCCGGCGACGGAGCCGGCCGGTGGTGACGACGAGAAGCGGCGGCCGGCGATGATTTAGGGGTGTGTGGCGGCGGCTGCTAGGGTTTGGTTTGGGGGAAGGGGATCGAAATGGGGAATTTTGGTAGGGTTGAGGGAGGGGAGGGAGGGAGGGTTAATTTGAAGCAGATGATTTGAGCAAAAACGGAAAGAAACGTACGCCTTCTGGGTGTGTTAGTGTGTACTTACCCATCAGTGCCTCATGTTGTCGACGTGTGGGCCCACGTCGCTTGGGGGCCCACACGTCTGTGCCTAACGCAGCACTAGCCAACCGTTGGAATTTTCTGTTTCTATTCCCTCCCGAAAAAAAAACTCAATCCTGGGTTTGAATCTGGACATAATATGTAGGTAGTGGCCAGGTTCAAATCTAGGATTAGGTTTTTCTTATGGAGGAAGTACTGTTTTTAGATAATAAAAAAGCATACCGTTTAAAATAATTTTAACTTACCATGATATGCATATATGGTTTGCCAATCTCATCTAGCTACTTGCTTCCAAATTAACTTTTTGATGTGTTTGTGTACTTGCTACAGAGTTTACAAGTCTCATCTACTCCCTCTGTCCTAAAATATAAGAGATTTTGGTTGGATGTGACACATTCTAGTATATAACGAATCTAGATATGAGGCACGTCCAAATTCTTTATACTAGGATACGTCACATCTAACTAAAATCCATTATATTTAGAGACAGAGGGAATAGCTCTACAATTTTAAATAGAGTTTGGCACCCAAATTTGGGAACTCTTCCCCATACATATAAAATGGAGCGACTCATTAGTTCATGGTTAATTAAGTATTAGTTAATTTTTTTTCAAAAATGGATTAATATGAAGTTTTAAAACAACTTTCCTATAGAAAAATTTTACAAAAAACACAATGTTCAGCGGTATAAAAGGCGTGTGTGCAGAAAACGATAGAGATGAGTAGGGAAATATGGCTGCCGAACACAGCCTTAGTGTAGGACATATCTCAATCCAAGGTCATTTGAAAATTTCAAAAAATATTTTGGAAATATATCACATGAATTATAACACATATTTGGGGATCGGATGTAAACAATCTCAAATAAAAATATTGTCAACTCGAAACTTGTAATCTCATTGAACCCTTTGACTTTGATATAGGGTGTGTCTCCATCCGAGATTATTTGAAAAATAGATCTCACCACTTATAATGTATTTTTAGGCATATAAACTATTTCAAATTCAAATGTTGTCAAATTTAAATTTAAAGATCTTATCGATATCTACAACTTCATATAGGGTATGACTCTATCCAAGGATTTTAAAATTTTCAAAAATTTGAACTGTCCTTCATCCATGATAGGTTTTAACTACCACCCTTCACGATGAGTGCTCTCATCATTGACGGGTCATCTTATTACACCCATCACGGATGATATGTTATCTGTGACGGCGCAAGGTTGTGATACGTTATAGGTTATCCATGACGTGTTACAACTACGACCCGACAAATATGACCTCATATCAGGGACGGGTCATCCCCGATAGTCATATCTTAAACGGTGTAGTTTTCGATCTATAAGATGAGTGATCCCAAACAAGTCGTATTAACCCGACAAAGATGGTTCATCACTGACACCCTGATCTGAACTAGTGACTTCAATTGACCTTGCTTTTGTATAGACTGTATTAGTGCTTTCAGAGTAGAGATGTGTATGAATAAAACTTACTCTTTCCGTCCCATAATATAAGGGATTTTGGTGGAATGCGACACATCCTAGTACTATGAATTAATCTGAACAGAGGTCCCACATCCTAGTACTACGAATTAATCTGGACAGGCTCCCCTATCCGGATTCAGATTCATAGTACTAGGACGTGTCACATCCCACCAAAATCCCTTATATTATGGGACGGAGGGAGTAGTATGCAATTTCTTTGGACTACTGCAAGTACATATCTAAATTCAAACATGAGTCCTATCATTCTAGATTTTGCTGTCAGTGCTAGAAGGTCACAGTGAAAAATTGGCAACAACATCATCAGAAACAGATTGACTGATTCAACTTCAAGCCAGCCATAAAAGCCTAAACGTACGGAACGAAAAATGTTTACTAAATGTCCACGATGTATGGATTTTTTACCGACATCGAATTTTTTCGACGTACGTTGGCTTTTTATTTTTTCAAGCGGCCAAAAAAACCCTCTTACAACCGTTTGCGAAAATAGCTTAAGAACCTCTAGATTTAACCCTACCTGTGAAAATCAATTTTTCTAGACGTGCCCTTAAGAGGTCCGGTATTTTCGCACGCGCGCGGAACCTTATGTGATCATGGCTAAGGGGAACCTTACGTGCCCTTAAGAGGTCCGGTATTTCCTTTCAAAAATTTTGGTACGTTACATCATGGCTAAGGGCTAGGAACCTATTCCTTCAACACTATGAGATGTGAATACCGGTTGCCTTCCTAGGAAAGTTACCTTTCCCAATAATCCAACAGGGGGCTAGCTAGGGATAGTATACAACTCTATAATGCAAAAGTTATATCACACATAGATATGCTTTGCTTTCAAACTTTCAATCTATATCATATTACTCCTGAGTGTTCGCTCGGGGGTTTTCTATCTAACAGTTTGTTGTGTGTTGTTGATTTCAGGATAATCATATAACAGAGCAAAGAATAGAGTTCGGGGGCTACTATCAATGCCCTAGATATGGGGATACCAATACTTGTGTACCAAGCTCACAGGGCGCACCATGTACAAGTCCTATACGAAATCGAGCCTGAAGTATATATACCTGAGTAGATAATGAAAGTATTCCCGAATAAGGAAAGATGAACATGGTCCTATTTCCACCAAATCTGGACTACTTGGATCAAATCTATATTTACCTCCCTAAAAATACAAGACACCCCAGAAGAAGAGGGGACAAGCCAAGATACAACATATGACACGCGAAGAATCCAAAGGCAAGCCCAGATGAGGCCAATATGATCTAATGAGTACCACAAAAGCCAACAACAGTTTGGATCTTATTGCCTCCTCCAAACTTGCTGAGTTCCTACTTAAGGAAGCCGGCAACTTTTAGCCATTGACTATCTGCTTGTGCTTTATGCCGCTAGAATGACAGAGTCAAGATTATGTTCTCCTCCACTTGCACTCGTGAAATATTGATATATAATGGCATCACTGGTTTCGGCAAATAGAAGTAGTGCTATTACTAATTAGAAGAGGGCCCAAACCTGTATAAGAAAACCCGGTCTCCTATCTCTTTACCATGATCTTGTGTATAACCTGGTGTCAACGTCCCCCATACATTACAAGTACCGTAGGCGGGTACGGCCCATCGATAGTAACGGCCTAAGATCACCCAAAATACTCTATTTACGTTAATTTTATGCTGCTATAATAATAGCTTGCACCATGCTGTTAGGGATATGGAATTATGTGATGAACATTTACGAATTCTTGCCATTCAAATCCCGGACGTTACAATTTGTTAGTGGTAGGAGGTATGTTCCCCTTGTTTGATACAATAAGAGATCAGACTAACTGGCCCTTTTTGGGCATGTTCCGGCTAGCTGGATACTCCCTCTGTCCCAAATTATAGGGCACCCCCTTTTTTAGAAAAATCAAACTCGGTAATTTTTTACTAATAATCATAGTAACCATATCTATGTTAAGTATTATGCATGTTATATCACTAGATTCATATTTTGAAGTAATTTTATATGATGCTAATTTTATATTAATTGAAAACATAACATGGAAAAAATTTAATGGTTAAAGTATATCATTGAAGACTGTATATAAAAAATATAGGCCTTGTAATTTGGGATGGAGGGAGTACCATCTTCATTACTTTGGTAACCGTATGTTTTTAGAAAAAAAAAACTCCTTTAGAAATTTGGCATAATTAAGTTTTCCAATATAGAAATTAAGGTACGTTATATTAGCTATGATACAAATATTTATCTATTTTTATTTATCCAATGGTTTAAATATACTCCATCCGATCCGTTCTACGGAATAAGGCGTGCACACATTTTATTATTCAACTATTTAAATATTTGACCAATATTTATTTTATTATAAACTAAATTTTATTTTATGGAAATAATATCATTGAAATGATATTTGAATTTACTTTCATGTAATCATGATTTTGTTGCTACAACATTGTAATATATGAAAAATTTAAAGTCAAATATTAGTTTTGAAGACCATGCCAAATTTGACCGCGCCTTATTCAGTGGGACAAAAGGAGTATCTTCTATAAATGCACCTCCTATTAATGGCAGTATTATAAATATATATTCATTAATGTTTCATTGAATTAAAGATTTGGTTTTTGATTTTGCATTGAATGCAAAAGATTTAGTTCAGATTACTTATTTAATAAGGTTGAAGCTCATCTATATAAAATAGATGAAACAGGGCTAGCGCAAAACGAACTCAAAACATAATACCCTCTTCCATTCCCCACTTCTAATATGGAGAAATTTTTTACTCAATCTGCACTGCTCTGTGTGTTGTTCCTTGCTAGTTCAACAGTAGGAGGTTGCTTCCCTCTTATGGAAGAAGAGGTACTATACTTAATTCTCTATAGCCATATGCTGTTATAATTCAGATTCTATTTTATTCAACTAAAACACGGTTGTAACTATAGTCCATATTGATTCATTTCCCTTTTCCGAAACAATTAATCAGGTCCAAAAGAATTGGCAAACATTGATGGCCCCTATACTTGATGTGAATTTATCTTCGTCGGGTCATGAATCAAATCAAGCTGGCACGTTGTATGTGAGTGTCATATCTATGTTTTCCCCCCCCCCCCTTTTTTTTTTGCTGTCTTCTATATCTGAAAGATGAATTTTTTTTACACATGATCATAACTTTCATGACCAAATACGTACATTTGCAGCTTGCAGTATATGGATGGGGTCCTTCAGATAATGCTATAACGTATTATGGAGTAGAGGCCACCATGGATGTTTATGGCTTTAATCTAGAGCATGGACAACAAACAGGAGGTTTCATTTCGATTTATAATAAGGATGAAGCATCCGCCATAAATAATGTTATAGCTGGATGGAATGTAAGTTAAAATTATCTTCTTGATTTGAAATTGTAAGTTCAAGCCTACACTAGCTAGCTTAGTAGGTTATGCTCAACACAGTTGGATGAGCTTTGCACTGTCACTTGAACATGTGTCACTAAGTTCCTTAGATTAACCATTAATTTACTCCATTTTTTTCTAGTTTTAACATTTAGTTTAATTGTACCTCATGCAGATTGAGCCTGAATCATACAATGATTCACAGACGCACTTCAGTACTTGGTTTGTAAGTTTCGTCATAAACACTGCAGTTTTCTGTCCATCAATTCTTATATCTTTAAGGATATGGTACTATCATAAAGATTTTGTATTTATCATGTAATTAATATCTTGTGCTCCAATTAATGGCAGACTCAAGGATCTAATGCCTGTCCTGATATGCGTTGTCCTGGATTCGAAAGTGTATTTAGCTCAGAAATCGTTCCAGGAATGGTGATTAACCCTGTTTCCACCACCTCTAGCGACAAACAATACATTACAGTCAGAGTATCCAAGGTACGTGTATATATATACCTTTAATTCCTTTTGAATTAATCACGGATCAATCTTATTACATTCAATTTTTGATATCTCCTCGTGTATATATATATATGAAAGATGACACTATACTACATATTGATGATTTCAGGATCCAAATTCTGGTGATTGGCAAGTCTACTATGGGTTTAATGGTGAAGCCAGACTTACAGGTTACTATCCAAGATCTCTGTTTACAAGCTTGTCATATAAACCAGTGACAATAATGTTTGGCGGCTATGCCTTCAAAAAGGAACATAAATTACCAAGTCCTCCGATGGGCAGTGGGAATGCTTCAATCAAAAACGCTGCATCATTTAGTAGCGTCAAGTTTTTTGATGCAGGCGGCAACAGCCATCAAATCAATTCTGCTCTCGGATATATATCAAATTGCTACCGTGTCTCTGATTTTGAACATGATGGTTTCTTTTATGGGGGACCTGGCAATTTTTGCTAGCTGTTTGTAATTAATTGAGCTCCATTTTAATGTAGTGATCGAGATTCAATAAAGTTTATTATAATTGACGATGTGTGTCACTCTTAGTTCATAAGTATTGTTTAGTCATAATTGGCTGTAGCTATATAATGAGCAAAGACCAGGATGTTTATTCCATTATTAAAAATAAGTATTATTTAGTCCAGAACATCGATTCATAGACGAACATGCAAGTCCAGAACAAAAATATTAGCAACATCAGATGTCGATTGACGATCAAGCCTCTTGTCAGTGCCTGTGTAACCCTTCCTCCTAAAATATACTCCATCCGTTCCATATTACAAGCCGCTTTGACTCTTTTCCTATTCAAACTCTTTTTAAGTTTAATCAAGCTTATAAAAAATATTTAGTAACATCTACAACACCGAATTAGTTTCACTGAAACACTATCATTTAATATAGTTTGATAATATGTTTATTTTGTGTTAGGAATGTTGCTATATTTCTTTATAAAATGATAAAAAGTCAAAGCGGTTTATTTTTTATTAAGCAATGATCTATGCACAATTGAACTGCGAATCTGTGATTAATAATAAGCGAAGTAAAGAAAATGATGTAAATCATGTGATGATCCTAGGATGAACCAATCCACGTAGTAAATTCTGGCCGTCGGATAGAACAAATGTAACAAAACGTAATGTTGGATTTAGATTCATTCTTTCGAATATGGTTCACTCTTTCATCAGAGCACTAGATCTGTTTCTAGAAATTACGTATAGGTCCTGAACCTATTTTTCCATGAGTGATAGACTTCTGCAGTTTGGACCCTAAGCTTCTTGCTATTTATGTATGAAGGTCCTTCTTCCTCCAGAACAAACAATAGGCAGGGAGAGGGACGGCAGTTCGGGATGGCAGCAGCCATGGCGCTACGTATGGAGGACGGCGTCTCGATTCGGAGCAAGGAGATGGTCTAGGGACTACTTTGAAGCTTACTCTGTGGCTAGTTTGTGGATGAGGTGATGTGGAGAGATCTGGCGATGAGGCTCTCGACCCGGTAGTGAGCGGCGTCGATGGCAGCGGTGCTCTGGTAGATTTTCCCTGCAACTGATTGAGGGTATCATCTTAGAGAGGTACTAGGAGTGTGATTGTCCTGGATGACACGAAGCGGTGAGGGGCAGCGGTGGCGGCGTTCTGGATGACACGAAGGATGACGGAGAGGTGGCGCAATCTAGCGGCATTTTGTATGAGGTGAAGGGTTAAATGGGGTCAATAGAGGATAAGGAAAAAAACAAGATGCACTTGGTTCAGGCAGAAGCTCACCAGAGGAGTTTTCACGGTGTTGTGGGCTCGCTGGCGCCAATGCGGGTGCTCACACTCCGGCCATCTCAAGGGAGTTCTTTTCCTGGGCTTGCTTGGAACGTGAAGAGGCGAACTAGGAGTGAGTGTTGGCGCAAGGGTAGGCTTAAAGGTGTAGTTTGGACGTGATGCTTGTGAGATCGTTCTATGGATTTATCTCTGTCTCGCCATTCTCGGGTAGAGAGGGATGGAACGGGGTAGCTGGGCAGTGCTGTGACATCAGGAGGTGCCGGGATAAGTGATGGCAAGAGATGCACGGTCGGGTCGTGAAGATTTGGCTAGTTTGGCTTCAGGGACGCGAAGGCACGCCTATTCGTTCGTCTATTAGAGAGAATGGCGCAAGGTGGATGACAGGTACGAAAACACGGTGTCTAGGCCCACCTGTTGCTGCTGCTCAGCTAGGCTTCGGGGAGAAGGCTCAGCTTGGCGCGGTGGAAAACTTCGGCTTGGCGCGAAGAAGGCTTCGATGCTTGACGCGGGGGATCCATTGTTCCCCACTTTTTTTTTGCCAATATATTTCTTTGTCATGATATATTTCCACTAACTCTTCCTTGAAACATATCTCTTTGTCCACTTTTCCTAGAAATTTGTCTACCCTCCTATATCTATCTCTTTAATTTCCTCCTGAATCTTGAGTTTTTTCTTCCTTCTTTCACTCTCCATGTTTAGACTCCATCATTTCATCAATCTACTTAAGATAGAACTTTGCCACTTATTGCCTTCTTGGCCATTTCTCAATTACTTTATCTCTAGAATCTTCTTTACGCAGCCATGATGCATCAAACCTGAATTGTCTTTTGTGAAGGTTCAACTGATTGCAGCTTATAACTGTTACTACAATTAGGTTATGGTCTGAGCCAACTCTAGTCAAACTCTGAACTTTTGTCAAAGGATAATTGCTTGTTTGTTCAGGTGAATTTATTATCAACTCTATGTAGTTCCCTCAGCTCTGTGTCAGTTAAGAACAAATTGAAAGCTTTAGCCCATCTCATGTGGAACGTTCCTCCTGATTTTCTTATCATTTTAAAATTAATCACCTCCCAGCATCACAGGGCATTGGACATTCAGTAACCTGTTCTGTACTATCTCACTCAGGAAACTTTCCTTTCTGTCATTCTCTGTACAGGGCCATAAATATTTCATTACCATCCACAGTTTTTTGTCACTTTTTGTCTCCAGAATTGTCATAGGTAGGGGTCAAGGTCCTATCCCGAGATTAGATTGGGTCCTTTCCTCCATCTACATAAGGATGGATCGTATCGTTGTTCTAATTAAACAATGAATTAGAATTAGTCTCCTCCAAAACCTAAGTCATGGTCCCTCTTGTCAGCAGAAGTGAAATTGATGTAGCAAAATAAAAGTAAATTTTGTTTACATTTTCACTATCTATCGCATTATCGGCGTTATTACTTTTGTCAGCAAAAGTGAAATTGATGTAGGTAAATTTTGTTTCAGATATATGTATGCGTGTTAGTCAAACGGTATTATATACGGAGCAAACGGCAGGAGATCTCACCGTGCTTGGGGTATTCTCTGCCGACAGAGAGAAAAAATGTGGTAGGGAACATGGTGAGTTCTAGTAATGAACGGGGAAGTATCTAGTGCAATACTACTCCTCAGTGGGAGAATGCAATATCTACTGTGGACCGTCGGATCTAAAATGTACAGCACAGATCGGAGCGGGTTCAGGTCTAAGGGCACTTAACAATATTTACAGATACCCCCTAGTTGTAACGGTGCATTTTGCAAGGATCCTCCATTATATGCATCTTTTATCTCCACAGTCCACCAAATTGAATATGAGCCATAGTCTTACGGAGGGTATGCCATCGCCGTCGTCGTCACCGCGGCCGTCATGGCTGCAGGGGCTCGTCATGCATCATAACATATCACCGACAAAGACGAGTCATTGATGATGGATATTCAACCGTCACACATGAGGTTTTCTCATTAGTCACCAATATATAATCACTAATGAGGCTTTTCTCTAACACAGATGTGTATTGCCACCTGTTACGAGTGAAGGGGTTCTTTTCTACGACACAGATGTGTGTTGCCACCTGTTATGAATGAAGGTTCCGCTATAGTGACTAAAAACCTCGTTTGATTATTAAACGTATGTGGAAGTACACAAGCACAACAAAGTTAATTTGGAAGCAAGCAGCGAGGTTGCTGAAATTAGTTTCCAGGTGCAGCCATGGAAAGACAACTTATCAACATGATCCATGTTTTTTTTAACTATATACTTTGTAAGCCAAAGCACACGAAATTATCCTCTCTAACGGGCACCTAGGTAGATTCGTCAGAGAATGGGTCACTTTTTGATGGGCCGTCCCCTTTGGACCTGTCACAGGTGCTCACCTTTGACGGGTTGCAACCACATCCATGGGATTGTGGAGACCCCCACCTCAGACGGACCAGAAAATATTGACGGCCGTACTGCATGTACGTTGCCCATCAAAGGTGGGTGGAGTTAATAGTGACCACAAATCTTTGACCAGGGCCAAACCTGTCAAAGGTGTGGGTCTAGGTCCGTCAGAAGTTCCTGATTCGACATACCGAGATACACTTTTTCCATTATCTAAAAAAATAAACATATGGGATATACAATTTTTCCATTATCTAAAAAAACAGGAGATGCACTTTATTTTCATCATCTAAGAAGTAAAACATGAACACGCACGAGATGCACTATTCCATTATCCAAGAAAACATAATCAGGAGCCATCCGGGAGGGAATATGACAGAAAAATTAGACGGTATAGATACGATCTGGGAGGAAATCGGATAAAAAAACCGTGCACTATAAGGGGATGACGTACAAAATTCCTAGCAAAAACATCTTGAATTTTTATAATAGGTAAAAATAAAGATATGATTTAATTAGTTTAAGGCTCTAACAGTGCCATACATATGAAAGATCTCTATAGACTGTAGTAAAGAAAATGTATTTTTACGCCAGGGAATTAGAAGGCTACTGTGATTAGTGGGTGTGAAATATTCTTCGCTTGATATTTGAAATCTGAAGCAGAATACGATATGATAGTGATGGTGATGGTGATTTTCCCTGCAGTAAAAGAACAGGTGATTTGCCCTTTTCAATTGTGTACATGCATAAACAGGAGATACATTTTTCCAGTAGATACACTTTTTCCATTATGTAAAAAACATAAACACATGAGATACACCTTTTCCATTATCTAAAAAAAACAGGAGATACATTTTGTTTCCATCATCTAATAAAAAAACATGAACACGCACTGGAAACACTTTTCCATTATCCAAGAAAACATAAACAGGATGATTTCAAATGGTAGCATTTCCTACATAGAAAAAATGTACTGTACACAATACACTTAATTTGGAAGCTCCGCCTCAAGGCCGTCCGCGCCGCCATGGCGGGGTACCGCGACCGCCTCGCTGCCCTGATGATGACGCCGGACGGAGTAGAGGAGGAGGCCACCGTCCCTGTAATGTCGCTGCTGGAGTGGCTCGACGGGGCGGAGTCAGAGGAGGCTGCGCTGTCGGTGGCCGTGGACGGCTTTGCCAATTTGGTCGAGCAGCTTGTCGGCCGTCGCCAAGGAGAGACTGGTGGAGGAGAAGGCGAGGCTTGACGCCATCCCAAAGCTGCACGGCGATCACCAGAAAGATGACGTCATCGTCTTCTGCGCTGCCGATCGATTCATCAGGAGTGTTCGCGTGCTGCGAGAATTCATAGCTCAGTATGATGCAT